CCATCCCTGGAGGTATTTAAAAGACTGTAGATGTCATGCTTAGGGACATGGTTTAGTGGTGGCCTTGGCTGTGCTACATTAATGGTTGAACTCAATGATCTTAAAGGTCCTTTCCAACCTAAATGATTATATGAATCCAAAAATTTCCAACTGAGAAGGAATACGCAGATACAAGCAAATCTATATCCTGTCTGTATGGACAAACTGTCTAAAATTAATCATTACTTTCATTTCATCTGTAGTTTGCACTTTATAAATAGGACTTCTACTCTGCTTTATGTATTTCAGGATGAACTAGTACACTTAGACATTCAGTAAGAAATCTATTATCCTCTGCTTTCTGTTATTTCATCAGTGCATTAAAGCTGACGGTATGAATCGGCATGATGTTAAGGAACATTATCTTTCAGTCTGATTAATATCCTATTTTATTTCAGGGAAATTATTTTACTGTCTCTTAGCTCTGCTTGAGGTACTTTGCAAGCAGCTCAGTATAAGGGCAGAATAATTATCCAACTTTTAAATACTGTTTTCCTATCCTAGCTGCAAGAAAATATTTTGTGAATATTGCACTAACGAGTTAGAATTTTATTTCAGTGTGGAATTAAATGATCCATTTTCAGTATTTATTGCTTTGCTCTTTCTGCAATTTTGCAATAGCTTTCAGTTTAATAATCTCTTCTTTTAAAGGTGAGCAAAGCAGAAGGTATTTTACTCCAAGTAAAGAATGCACTGGGTGAGGGAACTGGCAAGGTAGCGCTACAAGAGATGAGGATGGAATTCTATCACATTATACATCACAAAACTGAAATGGAGTATAAAGTTTCCAAAAAGCTGTTATCTAGAAAACAGGACCTGTGTCAGGTAACTTTTCCAGATTACTAGTAAGCCCTGATTTGCACTGTGCTACACCAGTTTTGAACATGCTCACTACATAAATTGACAGGATACTTTGCACAGCTAGTCACAGACTGTCAATTAAAAAAAAAATTTATTGGAATCTTGTGAATAGAGTAATGCTCATGGGAGGAATTCAGTGTTTTGAACAAGAAGACCAGTTGCTGTCCAGATGGTGACAGGAGTTTCCATTGCAATTATTGTTGTGATAGCACCTTCAGCTGGATGAAATGAGAATCATGGAACTGTTGTTATCATCCAGCTGACCCTAGGAGCTACTCCAGCATGTAGGTAATCAGTTTCTATTGATTATCTTAAACTATATACAAAATATATCTAAGTTATTTCAACTATATTCAGAGACTGTTCTGTGTACCCTTTCCTTTCCTGCATATGCAGGAACAGTTTCTAGAGACTATTTAAAATTACCGATCTGTGTACAGCTTGGTCTGTTCCTACATCTACAGCACAAATTGCTTGGGGGAGCTCCCTGGACTGCCTGGATTGTTAGTGCAAGAAGTTAGTTAGCACATCTAAACAGATAACATCTTTCAGTTGGTCTATGGCCTGCCTAGGGGAATCTCCAAAGATCTCCCCCTCAGCTCCTGTGTACCTTTGTCATTTCCTTCATTTTTAAGCTGGCTAGAAGTTCAGTCAATGGGGAGTTCAGTTACTCTGCTGCAAGTGAGTCCATTGTCTCATCTTTGCAGAAACCAGCCAAGAGATTCTCAGCCTGCCAGGGGGATTGCCGACGAGATGTGCTGAGTGTGCCCACAGATGCAGCTCTTGTGCCCAGCAGCAAGGGCTGGCTGCTCCGTAAGGGCAGGCAGATGAGGCTGGGAGTGAAAGTGAGCAAGGCCAGGGCAGTTATACCACTGGCAGCGGCTCTAGTCCCATGGTACCCAAATAGGAAGAGCAGAGCAGGTGACAGTGACTGCTGGTGATAGTAGCGGGGGTCAGTCCAGATGATTGCCTCCTCATGATGGCTTGTCTGGCATGTCCAAGGTCAAACCGGGAACTCAAGTCCAGAGGATCTGAGTCAGAACCAGGGAGGTGGTAGGCTGGATGCAGGCGTATCAACAACATAGCTCAGCTGAGAGACCAAGGGCAAGAGCCTAAGCCCAAAGGCATCTCTTGAGCAAAAGAGAGGCAGGAACCTGCTGAGTCTTCTCACCGCTCTCTTGCAAGGCTCCACAGCTGCACTGTCAAAGCTGGCCCTGAGCCCAGGCAGCCAGGTCCTCTGGAAAGGTGAGAGGCAGAGCTCTGACAGCTACATCACTCCTGTAACTATAGAGCAAACTCGAATTTCCTCCTTGTATTGTGATTATCATGTAAATTCCATAGATACTGCCAGAGGTACCTCTTTATTTTAGCAAAGGATATCTAGAAGTCAGTCTTCTGTAAGTTACAAAATATAACGGGGGAGAGGTAAAGGGAAGGCGGCTCCTTACTGCTCTAAAAGAACAAATGTTAGTAGTGCATTTAACCTTGGAAATCTTTTGATAATTGAAACCTTCTGACATTTCTGATATAAAAAAGTTACTATGTCTCAAGAAGCTTTCCCATGGCTTAGTGAAGTGTAGCATTACAATCTTTTCACAGTTAGATGTCCTTCTTTCACCTGAACTAGGAAAATTACGTAGAATTATAGAATCATTTCGATTGGAAAAGACCCTTAAGATCATTGAGTCCAACTGTAAACCTAGCATGGCCAAGTCCACCACTAAACCATGTCCCTAAGCACTACACCTACACATCTTTTAAATCCCTCCAGGGATGGGGACTCCACCACTTCCCTGGGCAGCCTGTTCCAATGCTTGACAACGCTTTCCATGAAGAAATTTTGCCTAATATCCAATCTACCTCCCCTGGCGCAACTTGAGGAAATTTCCTCTTGTCCTAGCGCTTGCTACTTGGGAGAAGAGACCGATCCCCACCTGGCTACCCCCTCCTTTCAGGCAGTTGTAGAGAGCAGTAAGGTTTCCCCTCAGCCTCCTCTTTTCCAGGCTAAACACCCCCAGCTCCCTCAGCCGCTCCCCATCAGACTTGTGCTCCAGACCCTTCCCCACCTTTGTTGCCCTTCTCTGGATACGCTCCAGCACCTCAAGGTCTGTCTTGTAGTGAGGGGCCCAAAACTGACCACTGAGCCTTGATGAATCTCTTACGATTGGCTTTGGCCCATCAATCCAGCCTGTCCAGATCCCTCTCTAGAGCCTTCCTACCCTCCAGCAGATCAATACTCCCGCACAACTTGGTGTCATCGGCAAACTGACTAAGGGTGCACTCGATCCCCTCATCCAGATCACTGATAAAGGTATTAAACAGAACTGGCCCCAGTACTGAGCCCTGGGGAACACCACTGGTGACCGGACACCAACTGGATTTAACTCCACTCACCACTACTCTTTAGGCCTGGCCACCCAGCCAGTTTTTTACCCAGTGAAGGGAATGCCCGTCCAATCCATGAGCAGCCAATTTCTCCAGGAGAATGCCATGGGAAATGGTGTCAAAGGCTTTACTAAAGTCTAGGTAGGCAACATCCACAGCCTTTCCCACATCCACTAAGCGGATTGCCTTGTCATCGAAGACCACGTTAGTCAAGCAGGACCTGCCTTTCATAAACCCATGCTGACTGGGCCTGACCACCTGGTTGTCCTGTATGTGCCACGTCATGGCACTCAAGATGATCTGCTCCATAACCTTCCCCGGCACGGAGGTCAGGCTGACAGGTCTGTAGTTCCCCTCATCCTCCTTCCAGCCTTTCTTGTAGATGGTTGTCACGTTTGCTAACCTCCAGTCAACTGGGACCTCCTCGGTTAGCCAGTACTTTGTGCTACTGATCTAGCTGGATAGTGGTCTCAGGAACAGAATGACGGATTCTAACTAGTAAAAATTGCCTCATAAGCAAAATAAAAATGGTATCAAAGCACAGTCCTGGTTTGTGGAGCTGTTATGAGCAGGCTCCATCCAAAGTTTGATTTGGAATTGTACAGAAGCAGTTTAACACTATTTTTCATATACCTTGTTCTTCTGAATTGTTTTCATGGGATTCTACAGCTGTTTGTTCTTGTTCCAAACTGTATCTAACAAGTGGAAATGTTCTTTTGAGTATTCCATTTCATTGTTACTACGCTGTATCTTTATATAATTCAATCTAGTTTGCAGATTTCCTTAATTCAAATGTATCAAGTATTCCTCAATTTGTGTCTGTATTTTCTACCTAATGAGACATGCTTAATATACATGAAACAAATATGTCATGCCCAAAGCCATCATCTTTGGCCAGATACCAGGCTCTGAGGTACAAGATCGAAGCCGTTGACTCAGCGAGTTAGGAATTTCTCAATGTTGAACAACAAGTGTTAAAAACCAATTACAAGTGAGTCTTTAATACTTATGCAATCATTCCAGTAAAATTCAAGGTGTAGTGCGCAAAATACATCTAAACAGGGCTGAATTATCAGATTCTGTTACTGTGCGGTGTTGATTGCACTAATGGGATTGCAGAGCTGGCATATTTACCATAACCTATATTAGAAGAAAATGGAGGTTAAAAAAAAGAACTGAAAATGATATTGTCAGTTTGGGGGGGGGGGGGGGGGTTAATTTTTTTTTAATTGTGAAGAGCTGTCTATTTATACGAGCTATTAAAATAAGGTATATGGGGTCTAGACTTGTTTACTCTGCTTCTCATTGTTTATTTCCAAGCATTTTATAACTGGAAAGTAAACATAAAAGTTAAATTTAGGGTTCTGCTGGGTAAAACAAATAATTTCTTTCTGTGTGAATAAACTTGATGGGGCTGGGAGGGAATACCTGGTCACCTATTGATTATGTACAGAACTTGCTGTCCCTTTCTAGTTAGCTTTAAATTGTGTGAAAAAGACGTATTTCTGGGAAGTTATTCTGCAGATTTGCCTATAATTCTATCTAATGTTCTTGACATTGGCTTCTAACTGGCCACCCTGTCTCTATGATTAATAAAATTAAAAAATCATAGAATCATAGAATCATTATGGTTGGAAGAGACCTCAAAGATCATCAAGTCCAACCGTATACCTGATGCCACCATGCCTGCTAAACCCACTAAACCATGTCTTGAAGAATGGGTAAATACAGAGAAATTAAAGAGAAGATGGTTCCAGAAATGGCATGATCAATTATTAGATCATTAACACATGGAAGAATGAAGTGAGCTTCAGTTATACATATATAGTCACTCCAAGTTTGTTTCTGCTGAGTAAATATGCTGTTAAGCAGTTAAGATCTAAACCTACCTAGCAACGACTGGTTAGGTCAATGGAGCTAAACCTAGTTGGTGACTGGTTACTAGCGGTGTTCCCAAGGGTTCAGTTTTGGGGCCGGTGCTGTTCAACATCTTTATAGATGATCTGGACATGGCGATTGAGGGCATCCTCAGTAAATTTGCAGATGACACCAAGTTGGGTGGGAGCATTGATCTGCTGGAGGGTAGGAAGGCTCTGCAGAGGGATCTGGAGAGGCTGGATAGATGGGCTGAGACCAACGGCATGAGGTTCAACAAGACCAAGTGCCGGGTCCTGCACTTCAACCACAAAATCCCCATGCAGCGTCACAGGCTGGGCGAAGACCAGTTAGAAAGTGGTCAAGCGGAAAAAGACCTGGGGTTGCTGGCTGACAACTGGCTGAACATGAACCAGCCAAGAAGGTAGCCAAGAGGTAGCCAACAAGGCCAATGGCATCCTGGCTTGTATCAGGAATGCTGTAGCCAGCAGGACCAGGGCAGTGATCATCACTCTGTACCCGGCACTGCTGAGGCCACACCTTGAATACTGTGTTCAGTTTTGGGCCCTACACTTCAGGAAGGACCTTGAGGCGCTGGAGTGAGTCCAGAGAAGGGCAACAAAGCTGGTGAAGGGTCTGGAGGGTAAGTCGTATGAGGAACAGCTGAGGGAACTGGGGTTGTTTAGCCTGGAGAAGAGGAGGCTGAGGGGAGACCTTATCGCTCCCTAAAACAACGTGAAAGGAGGGTGTAGCGAAGTTGGGGTTGGCCTTTTCTCCCAGGCAACTAGTGATAGGACAAGACGGCATAGTCTGAAACTGTGCCAGGGGAAATTCAGGCTAGAAATGAGGAGGCATTTCTTCACTGAAAGGGTTGTTAGGCATTGGCATGGGCTGCCCAGGGAGGTGGTGGAGTCCCCATCCCTGGAGGGGTTTAAGAAAAGACTGGAGGTGGCACTTAGTGCCATGGTCTAGTTGACACAGTGGTGTTAGGGTAAAGGTTGGACTCGATGATCCCAGAGGTCTCTTCCAATCAAATCGGTTCTATGATTCTGTGATACTAGCTTTCTTGCAATGAAGAGATACTAAAGAAAACTAAATGGTTATACCCAAATATATATTGTTCAAGTATGGAAGAAGCACTGTGCTTGGAACACAGAAACTTCTGTTTGTCTTCAGCAAAGTTCAGTAGCTGACTTTCACTTGACATTTTGTCTAAATTTTTAAGTCATTTAAAATTAATAGAACAATAGTTTATGTGACTCAGTTCCACCTTATACTTCTTTGTGACAGAAACAATTGAGTAAAGTTTTGGGGAACTTGCTGTTACCTGAACCCACGGGACTGCTCTTTGTAAGTAGCAGTTATCTATGTTAGGGCCTATATACTAATTTGTAAACTAAGTAATTATAAGGACAGGATTTTCCCACAAAACTTTGACTCTACTCTTATACAATAGATAAGCATAATGAGATTGCAAGAATTGAAGCATATTTAATCCCTTTCAGTCTCTGCATTTGCAACCTTAGTTTTTAATCTAAAAACAATTAAAAAAAACTTCAACTGCAGTAGAAGCATGCTGAAGGATACGTGAAGTTTCAAGTAAGGTTCTTAAAAAAACAACCAAACAAAACAAACCGAAAAACCCCTTCATATAAAAAAGTTCATGTAACAGCTTCATAAATTAGGACATAATATATCTCTAATCCTCGACAAAAGAAACCACACATTTTGAGTAAAGTGTTCAAAATTACAAAAGAGGCTAGTCCTATTTACCAATATTATTTTAGCATCTCGGAACTCAAAACTTGACCAAAGCTCACTGAATCTTGAAAGCATAAAGGTTTGATTTGTAAATGTGGCTTTATGCTTTTCCTTTGCAGGTACTACCTACTTTCAGTGTCTAAATCTGAAATTGTGATCCTTAAGTCCTCAGTTGATTTATAAATCCAGAGGTTCCTCACTGTGTGACAGTTAGGAATCCTAGAATCCTAAAATTATCTCCTGGGTATTTCATAGGGTATCACTATCTTGACAGCATTAATCAACTTAGTCCTTAGTCCAGAGTCTGTCATCTGAGGAAGTGTATTCCAAGCATGTGTAGACAGCGTTCAGCTGGCAAGGATAAAGGCAAGAAGAAGTAAAGAGAGAATCTGAATCTTTTGTTTTGTGTAATCACAAGAAGGGAAGGACATGAGTCTTGGTGACAGCTCTGTCCTGTAATTACTGTATATGAAATGCATAAATCTTGCTGGAGGTGGGATTGCAACCCAGGTTTTCCTCCTTTCAAGTGTGTTTCTTAATTGGGAGTTACTACCACCAGATAGCATGAACTGTGATGCTAAGATGTTTGTAGTTCAGCCAAGACAGTGAGTTCGCTGAGTATTCTTAGTAAAAGTATTTTTAGTACAAAATAAATTTGCTGTCAAAAATCTATATACTTGCAGATTCTGAGCTGCATAGAGTTATATGGGTTTTCTTATGGCACATCTTTGAATTTAGATCCCAAAATGTCAAAGAGGATAATTTTATATGACTTTGAGGATGAAAATACATTTTCAATTTCTTCCTAAATATCTAAATAGGTCTTGAACTTAGTCATTGTGGTTTTAGTATCTCTGGTGATTGTTCTCTTATGCTGTTTTTTTCTTTGCCACCCAAATTGTTAACAACAACAAAAATGAATGTTACTTTGAGATTTAGACTAAGGCTTTATCTTTTAGCAGTCTATTGATCTTAAATGCACTTTCTCAGTCAGATTTCTTGCAGTGACTGTTCAGTGAGACTTTTACAAGTGTATAGGGTTGACAGAATAAGTAAAAGAGCAGAATTTCTGAGCAGTCTTGGAAACATTTGATCCTTATTCCACGCATCATCTGTGCACAACTTCATGGGAATTCTTTCCAGGTAAAAATTTACATTCCCTTTTTTGTGACATTGAATCATGCTTAACTATAATCTTAAATATATTTTGACTTTCCTTTTTTTTTTTTGTGAGGTTGTTTTGCATTATGTTTAACCTGGTTTTCATTGTTAACATTTATATGAACATCCATATACTTCTATGGACTTTGCTTCTTCTGGAAGGAAAATCAATCTTTTGTAATGATAAATTTAATTACTCTCCAGGCAGATTAGACTTGAGATGCAGCTATTTGGATATGATGAGTGTGGTGTAAATCCAGATGAAAGACGACGAAATGGAGAGAGTAGGAGAGCAATGGCTGCGTGGAAAATTTATTCTGTTTTAGGAAAGAACTGCATTGACGATATCCTCCTTCCAGTTCTGTACATTATTTCCCCATGACTACAGTGTTTGGCATATTTTTAGATTATCATAATTTCCTGGAATAACAGAATATCTAGTTGTATGACTGAATACCATGGATTCACTCAGGCATGGTAATAATGCTAAAATAACATGACCTCTAGTAGCCTGACGTATTTAAATCCTCATCATAGCATGTATGCAGTGAATACCAGCCACTGAAAATTTAAGGATGTTTTAAAAAACATATCTGATACAGAACACCATCAGAATTAAAATACCTCGGAAGTCGTATTAGCATCTATTTTCCCCATATTGCAGATTTTTATTGTAAGTTACAAAACTGGTCAACTTATTTAAATATTGTATCTTTTTACATTCTTTATATATGAAATGTTTTCTGTGGGCATCAATTGATACTAAATCAAATGTCTCAAAGGATGGTATCTGCACACCAATAGGTTTGCAAATCAAACATTCAAAAAGTTTCCAAATGTCCATTCCCCAGCATTCTGCCTTTAAAACTTATATTTTCTTTTTCTTAGATACAAAAATTTCATACCTTTTTTTAAAATCAAATACAGCACCATTGTTAGAAATGTTGAACTACTCATCCAATAACGAATAAATTATTTTGAATGTTTGGCAATAGATCTGGAAAATGTGTTGTTTTTCTGCTAAATGAAGAAAAGCTAACAGTCTTTATTGCTTCTGTAATCAGTTACTTGGTGATTAATATGACTTTAGGATTTTTTTTTTATAAAGAGACTTTATTTTCCTTGAGTGTCTATGGATGCTTCCTGTAAAGTGTATTTCATTTTAATCCTCCATGGTTCATAATTGCACAATGTGTATTAGCCACATGCTATATGCAAAAGTATTTTGTACTTCATTCATTGTGTGACTTTTTTTTTCTCTAGAGGACTCCTAGTGCCAAAAATGGTTGTTGAAGATCATGGCCTGGAAAGAGCTGACACTGGGAATCTGGGCATCATGGCCTGGAAAGAGCTGACACTGGGAATCTGGGCAGTGGCATTTACTTCAGTGATTCTGTTAGGTCTGAATAACAATATCTCTTTACATTATCCTTTGTGTATTCTTTTTACTCTTCAAATTAAGCTGATACAATGCTTAATACTTTTAAGTTAATTTAACTAGACATTTTATTCCTGTCCATATGTTCAGAAGTACTTGTATATCTTTGAACTCCTATGATGTTTACATTTATATAAATGCTAATAAAAAGCGTACAATCTTTCTTTACATATAGCACTAGTATTAAGTATTCTTTACTCAGTGAAATGAAGGGAACCCAGCTCCTGGCAGTTTGTGATGTGGCACTTTGGATCCTGCTTGGATTTCTGTGAACGAGATTATTCATTAATAATGCACCATCAGGTTATGACGGTGTGCATGGAGTCCATAAAACAGCAGACATCTCTTCAGGCTTGAGATACTGATTCTGCAGTATTGGGCACTTGAAAAGGCACCAAGTTTTGGATTTATTGTAACACTGATAGATAACAGAATGAATGTAACCTGCATTTCAATTCAGACACTAAATCACTAGACAGTAATGTGTAAAATCACTTTCGTCTGTCTTGCAGCCTGCAAAGTGTATATAAAACTTTTAAGTCTCTAAGTTGCTATTTGTAAAGAATTCTTGCAAGAAAATAATACTGAAAAGAAAGATGTAAATATTATTTTATTATAACTGAATCATCATATAAATATCTAGTCTGTGATATTTAAATTGTTATTTGGAAGCGATCTTCTGCTTTGTATGAAACAAGAAATCACTACCATGGAAGGTTCACTGTTTTGTAAATGAATCCAGCTGATAAAAATCCCTGTCCTTATAGGTTGGGACTCTAAGGCAGGGATGATAGCTGTAGTGGCATGCTAACAGATACAGTTGCTGTCTAGATATCCACCAGTTTTTTACTTTTTTTTGTTCTTAGTTATTTTGAGGAATGATTGTGATTTATGGAGAAGAGGTAATAATAAGGAGTGTGGAGAATACAAAGTAAGAAGATAAGAGATACAAGTGGTAGTGATACAGGGAGATTAGGGGAGTGAAAATAAAAGCTGACAGATGCTATTATTTTTCAAAAACGATATGTCATTTAGGCTCACCTCTTAATAAATTTACATTTTTTTAGATATTATCTACAGCTTTGTTTTTATTGTAAAATACCTTTCTTTGTTTCTACCAGAATGATGAATTTGTTGTCTATAAAACCTGTCAGGTTAAAATCAGATATGTTGTTAAGTTTTGCCTTGCTGAAGATCAAATAAAACCATTTCAGCCTGCAATTGGGGTGGAACTGGAGCAAGATTACAGTGAGCCAGAGTTGCAATGTCATTTACAGCATGAGAGTAAGAAAAGGTTTCTGTTTGTATATTGACTTCCTTCCAGAGTTTGCTAAATACTTATCAGAACTCTTTTTAGAGTACTTGTATGAAGATAACGTAATAAAAAAAAGTTTGTAGTTTATTTGCAGATGTTATCAAATTAGTGATTACCATGTGGCATCTGCGTAGCATCTGTTTAACAGATTTCCTGTAGGCATAATTACCAACAGCAGTTGCAACTTCTCCTGTCACAGTGTGTTTCAAGAGAAGCAAAGGAAGCACTTTTGCATAAATCATCAGATGGTCTTTAAATAATTCAAATGCAAGGTTCTAAACAAAGACCTTGTAAGACCTTAAAGAACTGTCATGAACTCATGATCCCTTAGACAGCCTACAGCTCAGCAGTACAACACAAGTATTCATAACAGAAACTGAGTGTTACTTTTGTGTTCTGAATTGCATAAATAAACATGGGCTGTTGATATAGGATTAGTTTCAATCGTCTTTCCTGAATGTATATTTCAAAAAAAATTCCTTTTAATCTTTCATAAACTCTTTGTTTAGGCTATGCATTACCAAATGCAAATCTTTCGAATCCTGTAAAAACTGGTTTTTAGGACAGATTGGGAGATCCTGTCCCTCTGGAAAGCGTTTATGTCAAGCCAAGGATAATAGACCTTGTAGCACAGGTAGAGTATGCCATTTATTGTCCTTTTCCGTAACTCAGCCCTGAAAAATTAATCCATTTGTTAAATACTGTTTTAGTCAAAATGCTATTTAGTGTTTAGTTACTTGCAAAAAAAAAAAAGGCAATTCAATCTCCAAATGAAGCACTCTGCTTCAGGGACAAGGTTGCCCATCCATTTCTTTAGATGCCCTTGATGGCTCCTAGATTCTCGAGGTGGGAGGGGAGGTCATCTCTGTGCTTAAATGCTGGCAAAGATCCAGAGATGGTCCTTGTGGTCCTAGTCCCTGTGAGATCATATAGCTGTATCGTACATCTGACTGTTCAACAATCATGCCTTCTGCTTCAGAGCTGTATTATACTGAGTTCTGAAGTTCACTCTGTCCTCAGGAGAGAAAGATGCACAGGTTCATCTGAATTTTAGCTGCTAGGATGCACAGATAACAAAGCTATATGATTAAATGAAGTAAAGAGGCTTCCATGCAATCCCAACTTAGTGAGAAAGTAGCTCCAAGGCAATAAAAATTTTTTTTGTAGGATGCAATAAAAAAGGTTTGTGTTAAACAAGTAAAACCACAGAAAAAGTTGCTTTCATTAATACTGTTATCTGCTTTATTTTATCAATACCTTAAATGATTAAGTCAAAACATTTAAATTTAATGTTTTTGTATTTATATGGAATATTTGATGCTAAATTGTATTATCAAGAAACTAGTTTAATGTCACCTTTCACTCTAATCTGTCGTTAGATAGGTAATATAGGGGAATAACTTTTATTTATTACACTCTTTTTCTTCACTAAGTACTTCCTTTTGTTTCAGAAACATTTCTGTTACTAAAGATTATATATAAATTCCCAAGTCACAAAACTTAATGAGACCACAATCTTCATTTTTTTCAATATCACTGCACTTAATATTTTAGCCTTTCTTTGCATTTGCATTTTAAATAAAAATTTACAATTATCTGAAACTGTGATGTTGCTGGTAAAGTAAGGCATCTTGGAAACTGAGTATTATAACTTTATTCCCAGTAACATTTCCGCATATGGCTGTTCTAAACCAGAATAACAAACAATGCAGGGAGTAGTACCAGTAAATGTGTCAAAACTTAATGCTATTAATATTTCCATATTAAAAACCATGAAAAGTGCTTTTCGTGAGCATGTCCTAGGTTCTTCTCTGTTCTGTTTGCAAAGCAGGCACAAAATCACATCTGTTATAATTTTCTAAAGTTATATTTAATCTTGAAATAGTGTTTCCTATTATTAAGTTGCTTTTATTCAGTACAATTACTACTGGTTAGTAGAAATATTGTACTGATCAGCTAAAGATTTGATGCTATTTCTGCCATATATTGGGAATAAATTAACAAGTTCATACACTACTCATCCAGTTGTAGAAAAGGTATTTAAAATGATGATACAATTTAATTTGTAATGGTAAGGGAGAATTCAACTAGAAAATACAAATAAAAATTATGGAATAGTTATTTTGTGAGGATGGAGATTTG